GGTGATCATCGCATTATCCTACAAGAGGACACTACTCCTATTAGTGTCCGGCCTTACAAGTATCCACATTTCCAAAAAAATGAGACAGAAAAGTTGGTAAAGGAGATGTTAACCTCCGGCAACATTCAACCTAGCACTAGTCCATTTTCTAGTCCCGTGCTTCTCGTTAAGAAAAAAGATGGCAATTGGCGCTTTTGCGTTGATTATCGCGCTCTTAACAAGGCTACAGTCCCTGACAAATTTCCCATACCGGTAATCGAAGAGCTCTTGGATGAATTGTGTGGTGTTTCCATCTTTACTAAGTTGGATTTGAAATCGGGCTACCATCATATTCGAATGAGCAGTGAGGATGTTCCCAAAACTGCTTTCCGTACTCATGAGTGTCATTACAAATTCCTCATTATGCCCTTCAGGTTAACCAATGCTCCGGCCACCTTTCAGTCTTTGATGAATGAGGTATTGAAGCCCTTTTTACGAAAATTCGTGTTACTTTTTTGTATGACATCCTTATTTACAGCAAGACTTTTAAGGAGCATTTAACACATTTGGATATGGTTTTGACTGTTTTGTAAGGCAACCATTTGTATGTGAACCAAAAGAAGTGCACTTTTGCTCAGGGACAACTCAAATATTTGGGCCATATAGTGTCTCGGGATGGAGTTTCTGCCGATTCTAACAAGATCCAAGCAATGAATGATGTTTTGACCTACACCTCGATCAATTAAGGAGCTACGTGGTTTTTTAGGGCTCACTAGTTATTACCGGCATTTTGTCGCTGGATATGGCCATTAACCCAACAATTAAAGGACATGTTTCATTGGACTGAGTTGGTTGATTCCGCTTTTCAGAAATTGAAGCAAGCCATGACAACTGTCCCTGTTTTGGCTTTACTGGATTTTTCTCAGCCTTTTGTGGTTGAGTCGGATGCTTCGGGGTTTGGCATAGGAGCGGTCAACAACAGCGGCCTATAATCTATTTCAGTCAGGTGTTGTCTCCTCAAGCTCGTGCTAAATCTATCTATGAGAGGGAATTGATAGCGGTGGCCCTCGCTATTCAAAAATCTACTTGGCCGGCACTTCATTGTCCGCACAGATCAAAAGAGCCTAAAGTTCTTGTTGGAGCAACGCTTGGTTAGTGAAGAGCACCATAAATGGTTGTGTAAATTGTTGGGGCATGATTTTGAGATTCAATACAAACCCGGGTTGGAAAATCGGGTTGCGGATGCTTTGTCACAACAACATTCGGGTTTGGAATTGATGCAATTTGCTACTACCACTGTTTTCAATGGGGCTGAGATTCACCAACAAATTCTCCATGACCCGAAGTTAGCTGCGATTCGGGCAGCCTTACTTGACAATTCCACGGCCGTTAAAGGGTACACTATGGTAAATGACATGTTGCTCTACAAAAACCGCGTGGTCATTCCTCGTCAATCCCCCCTTATACAGGTTTTATGAAGGAGTTTCATGGCAGCAAGGCGGGCGACCATTCTGGCGTGCTTAAGACCTTTAAGCGATTGGCTGCATAATTTTTCTAGACTGGTATGAAGCAGAATGTGGTTGCATTTGGGGAGAGGTGGTGCTACAGCCTCTTCCACTTCCTGTGCAGGTTTGGGATGATATTACAATAGATTTTGTGGAGGGCTGCCCAAGTCGGCAGGCTATGACTCCATCTTGTTGATTGCTTGAGTAAATATGCTCATTTTGTGGCCCTTCGCCACCCTTATACGACTAAGTCGGTGGCTGCTATTTTTGTGAAAGAGGTGGTTCGTCTTCATGGTTTTCCTCGAACTATTATTTCCGATCGAGATAAAGTCTTTCCTTAGCCACTTTTGGAATGAGCTTTTTAAGCTGCAAGGGACATCTTTACATCATAGCACCGCTTATCACCCTCAATCCGATGGCTAGACTGAGGTGGTAAACAAGGGTTTGGAAGCTTACCTGCGTTGTTTTGTGTCCAACAAACCTACTCAATGGTTCCCTCATTTATCTTGGGCCGAATATTGGTACAACACAAGTTTCCATGTCTCTGCAGGCATGACCCCTTTCAAAGCCCTTTATGGTCGCGATCCTCCTAAATTACTCCATTTTGAGTTGGGGTCTACTGCCAATTCTTTACTAATTCTTTACTGGAACAGCAGCTACAATCTAGGGATGCTATTTTGGATGAACTTCAGGCGCATTTGTTGATGGCGCAGCATTCCATGAAGTTGTAGGCTGACCTTAAGAGGCGAGATGTGTCCTTTAAGGTGGGTGATTTGGTTTTCCTGAAGTTGCAACCATACCGTCACCGTTCGTTGGCCAAGTTTCTCAACGAAAAGTTGTCTCCCCGGTTTTATGGTCCTTATAAGGTGCTCGCTCGAGTGGGTCCTGTCACTTACCGGTTGCAATTGCCAGCTACCGCTAAGATTCATCCGGTTCCAGCTTAAGAAGGCCGTTGGGCTCGCTGTTCCAGCGCAGGAGGTTCCATCCATTTTGTCCGCTGATATGGACTTACAAGTGCAATTGCCATCTCCGATGACTGGCCAATTGGAGGTTCTATTGCAGTGGCGGAATCTACCTGACTTTGAAGCTTCTTGGGAGTTATTTGATGTCATCCAACAGCAATTTCTGAATTTTCACCTTGAGGACAAGGTGACTCTTTTGGGGGGCGGAGTAGTTGATAGAACTAAGCCTCTTATAAAGTAAGTGTTTGTAAAGAAGGGAAGGAAGGAAAGTAATAGGTTGTATAAGGAATAAGCTGTGCAGTATCGAGTAAGTGTTAGAGTTAGTTAGTGATGTTGGTTATGCGGTTTTTCAGAAGCAGTTATTGAGCTGTTAGTGTGAACATAGAAATAAGTAGTTAGGAATAAGTCAGGGAGTATAAAAGGGAGAGGGAGAGAAGAGATAGTCAGGAAACTCTGAGTCTGTCTGGGGAAGTCTTAGCTTAAGCTGAGTAGGGGAGGTCTAGCAGTACCTCGAATCACTGCAATTGTAATTCTTCATTTCAGATCAATAAAAGTTCTTTTCATTTTCAATTCCGATTGTTTCCCAAGAAACTGACCTAGATTCTATCATCTGGGTCGTTAGAACTTTGGGTCAAGATGATGAATGAAGGAATGCCAAGCTCTTCCTCTATTTTTTTCCTCTGTTCCTTTGCACTTTTTCTTGTGTATTTCTTCATTGCGTTTTCTTCATCGACATACCCAAATTTTTCAGTGTACGGGCTTCTTAGATTTTTTGATTGTTTGTGAAGTCTTGTTGTCTTACTTGCTACGACTTGTTCTTTTCCCTTTCCCTGCATTTGACAAGTTTGTAAATTAGATATATCCTACTTTTGTACTCATTACTCGACAAAAATAATAATCTATCTACTTGTTTTTCATTCTTTATTCTATTATTTATCACTTCCATCAACTTTATGCACATATATGATATGATATATCAACGTTCCTATCCATATTGCTGGCTAATTGTTTTAACATTAAATTATTCTCAGAATCTATCTCCTCAATGGTTTTTTTTCCTCCCTAATGGTCCATAACTTAACAGGTTAGTTTTGTAACTAAACAAGTTATGGTCTAACTTGACAACAAATGCTCATAAGTTAACAGGTTATGGTCCATAACTTGATTCGTTATTATCATAAATTTACGAGTTATGATCCATAACTTGTCAGGTCCTCTACAGTTTTTACCTCTTCTTTTTTGTTTTCTTCTTGTTCCTTCTTTTCTTCTTCTTCCTCATTTTCAATTTCTTCAGTGTCCTTTATATTCAAGTCTTCCCCCTGCAACAGCAATGTGTCATTTATATTCTTGTTCCATAACTTGATATGTTATTATCATAAATTTACACGTCATGGTTCATAACTTGTTAGGTCCTCTATAATTTTTACCTCTTCTTTTTTGTTTTCTTTTTGTTCCTTCTCTTCTTCTTCTTCTTCCTCATTTTCCGTTTCTTCAGTGTCCTTTATATTCATGTCTTCCCCCTACGACAGCAAGGTGTTAAATAATTGTAAGAAACTTTTTTTTTTTTTGGTTTTTTTTCCCAAGTAATATTAATGTGGTAAAATAACAAAAAAGAGATGAGAAACAAACAAATAAACATAAGACATAGAGAGGTTGCAGCTTTTCATACCTTTTGGATTCCTTGAGCAACAACTTTTCTCATTGCTATTACCTTTTCAAGTTCTTCAAATGTTCTGTCCATTGTTTCTTGACGGATATCAAACGAGTCCGTGAGGGAAGGATAACCGAATTGTCCCTCATGTTCTCTCCACAGATACTTCTTTTTCTCTGTCCACCTATTCATTGAGGTACGTTTGTCAAAATTAGTATATCATTAACAAAAAAAAAAAATGCAAAAACAATTCAAGATCAATCTGTATTGTTTGGTTACCTCAGAAGCTGGTTTGTTTTTCTGTTTTTGACACATAGAAGCACATCTTGTTGAATGGTTCTCATAATCTCCATAGAATCCACAATCATTGCCTTTATTTCTCTCATATCTTCTTTCATGGCTACTTGGTTGTCATCAATATGTTTTACTTTAGTAATTTACTTAAATCAATTTCCAGCTTCTCCAGTCTTGTCGCCGCTGCTGGTGGTGTTAGTCTTTGAAGTTCATCACGATTTTTTTCTTCCTGTCCTTTTTGCTCAGCATTTTTCTCTTCTTGTTCATCAATTTCTTCAACTTCTTGTTTGTTCCGGAAAAATGTCATGTAATCTGCCTCCCTTCTCTTTCTCTTCAATTTTAATATAAAGAATGGTGTTCTGTAACAAAAACTACATAATGTTAGGCATGTAAAATTAAAATATTATTTGTTTGGCAACAAAAAATGGAATACAGTACTTACTGTTTCGACATCCTCAAATTCCTCATTAAGTTTGTCCCAGTTAAGTTTTTCCAAGTATTTCCACCGAAGCATTCTTGGTAACACATCAAGAGTGGTCATTTTTGCATATCCATTGACAAGTATGAAATCCAATTTCTCACATGCTCATAAGATCACATTATGCGGGAATCCTCTTATTACAATTCCCATTTCAGCTTTGCTTCCGACCACTTGTAGAAAGGTTTGTACCGTTGCTTCATACGAAGCTCTCCCCCAAGGATACATCTTAAATTTCTCTTCGTAACAAGCAAGCAACATATGGTGATTGTCTTTACAAAAAACAACCTCGTCAACATTTGACAAGACAAGTTTTTGTAGGCAATAAATGTTTGCCAATATAACTATCTCCTTATCAGATAAGGACTTTAACGTGTCAACTTCTTTTGAATCCTTTGCTAATACACAAACCAGCTTCGAAACTTTAATTCACCTCCTGCCTAAACATTTCTTAATCACTGTTATTTGTAGTTTTGCAATTGTCTCCTTTTTTTCTTCTTCACATCGTAAACCAGTGATTAGGGCGAAATCTTGCAGCCCAAACATGACCTTCTCACCACCAAAGTTAGATGCAAGCTCTGAATTTTTATGATGAGTGCATTGCCGAAGGATAAGATGCTAAAAAAGTTTTGTTGGGAAGCTGGTTGTCTGCAACTTTAGTAGATGACCAAATGGTCCTCTTTGAAACAAGTCCAGTTGCTTATTGTTTAAGACATACTTTATTCTGCTTATGATTTGATCCTCGATTGGTTGTTGACTTTTTTAGTGTGATTCCAATTTTTCACACTCACAATATAATTGTCCATGTCCTGCAAATTGAACAAACATGTAAAGAAATAATATAGACCAATGATTTACCATCAGACCAGAATATGTATTCTGATGGTAAATCCAAAGTTTATGATGTAAATCCTAGATTATTCTCACTCAATTTTCCCAAATATTCATATGACTTTTCTTTTTCCCTTTAAGCATAGACAATTATAAATTCTAGTTTCACACACTACTCAGAGAAGAAGCCAAGCATGCTAATTGGTGTAAAAAAGCAGAAAAATAAAGCAACCCCATTTACTTAAATGGAAACTGATGGAAACCTCTAGATTATTGAAGGACAAAGTACACACTCGGGTGATTATTCGAGAGAATCACCGTCTCTCCTCACAATACTACACAATCTAAAAGTCCCTAACCTCTAGGAGCCCCTGCTTATTTATAGACTCTCCTAGATTGACTAACAGCTTCTCCTACAAGCTACAAGCCAACTCTTAACAACTAACTAAATTCAATTACAAGTCCCTGTCCACGTCAGCCACTAACCACCCAGTAACCAATCCTTTATTGTTTCTTTCTTCTCCTATAGTCAAGCAGCCCCGGGCCTAGCTCTCTGGTTCTTATCACCCCCCCCCCCCCAATTCACAGAACCTTGTCCTCAAGGTTCACGTGACCGCTCCTAGCGCCGCCGCTTGATCGCCATGTTCTTCCTCAACTGTCGCTTCAACTCCATCCCCATCTTCTTCATCCACCGCGGCAATGAGAACCTGCAGTTGTGGTTTTGTGCAAACATGTCCGACCCGCCATTTCTCCTCACACCGGAAGCATAATCCACGCTCCCTGCACCGCTGTAATTCAGTGACAGAAATTTTCTTCCTGAAGCTGTCTTGTTTCCTCGTGAACTGAAAAAAACCATTTTCTTGGCTCTTGTTGACCGACACGCCCGATTGACTAGAGTTGGTATGTGTCAACTCTGGGGATCCCTCATTTTTTTCCACCAGTTTCGGTGGATTCCAGCTGGAGCCACTACCCAGCCAGCTAGAGCAACTTCCTGTAATTCCTCCATGCGTTGAATTCTTCAGCCCATCAGTTCTGAAAAATCCAGCCCCTTCACCACTTGTTCCAGCCCGTGAAGTCCTCAACATCTGGGCCCGCTCAAGGGCCCAATTCTTTTCTTCAATTTTTTGGGCCAAATCCATCAGCTAGATGAGAGAGACAGGCTTCACCATACGCACCTCTGCTCTGATCTCTTCGGCCAGACCATTCGAGAAGGCTCCCATCAAGAACTCCTCATCGACTTCTCTCAAAGGAGACGAGAGTAGCTCGAATTTCTCACGGAAATCAGCTGCCGTCGATTCCTGTCGTAAAGCAATCAAAGCTTCGTAATGATTGCCCGTTTGCGACAACCTAAACCGCTGAATCACAGATTCCTTGAATCTCAACCACGAGATGTGACCAGACCTAGATTCCAACCACTGGAACCAGTTCAACGCCTTCCCTTCGAGGCCAATCACTGCCGCCGCCACTCGTTCCACCTCCTCAACACCTTGGACCTAGAAATATCGTTCCAGACAGAACAGCCACCCGAGCGGATCCTCGCCACTGAAAAGAGGAATTTCCATTCGGCAAAACCTAGATTCCCCGCCAATCGGTGCTGAACCTTGACCGGGATGAACCGCCGCCGCCGTCGCACCGCCGCCTTCCACCTCGTTCAAAGCAGAAGCCCTAGCGTGCTCTGCCGAGGGATTTGCGCCGTTCCCCGACCTCATCCAATCGGTAAGTTCCTTCATATAATCCTTCACAGCTCCCATGTCCACCGAAAGCTGTCCAACAGCTCCCTTAAGCGCTCCGATATCCTTCTCCTCCATCTCCACTCTGCCTTCCATTTTTTCAGCTCTTGAAGCAACCATTCCCAATCGGAACAGCTCTGATACCAATTTGATGGAAACCTCTAGATTATTGAAGGACAAAGTACACACTCGGGTGATTATTCGAGAGAATCACCGTCTCTCCTCACAATACTACACAATCCAAAAGTCCCTAACCTCTAGGAGCCCCAGCTTATTTATAGACTCTCCTAGATTGACTAACAGCTTCTCCTACAAGCTACAAGCCAACTCTTAACAACTAACTAAATTCAGTTACAAGTCCCTGTCCACGTTAGCCACTAACCACCCAGTAACCAATCCTTTATAGTTTCTTTCTTCTACTATAGTCAAGCAGCCCGGGCTTAGCTCTCTGGTTCTTATCAGAAATCTAATTTGACTACGAAAGACAGAGCTACATTCTACATGGGTAATATTAGTGCAAGATGAAATGTAATTTTTACCACGCTGACGACTTCTGTTTTCTTCTTCTTAGTTTTACTTGGTTCAGAGGGTTCACCACTTGATGTAGACACATGATCCTTCTTCTTCTTTTCTTTTTATCATCACATAATAATATCTCAGTGCTCCATTTTTCTTTTTGTTTTTCCATCTCGTTTTGGTCCTTTGATCCTGTCATCTGTTTCAGTAGATAAGCATAAATACATCAATTAGAAACATATGACAAAAGCTGAAAAAACACCAAAAAGTTTTTAACAAGTCAATACATATAGGATTGTACTGTTTTTTAATTGTTTATGTTGGGAAACACGACCTCTGCCTTTCCATTGAAAACACATACAAGCTCAATTGAGCATTAAATTGTAATACAAAATCAGATAAGTCATTCCTAATGCTATAGTAGATGGAGGTATATCTGAAATATACCCCTACTGATGCAAATAGGATTATTCACCAAATTTGTAATGCTTGGTAAGATTTTGGAAAGAGGTCCTAGAAGCAAAACAAAAGAAGGCTGTATAAACTACCAGATTACTTTCCTTGTTTTTACAACAATGAACAGCAATGCAGAATAACAGATTATAGCTGACAGATTATGTTCCATATTCTAATAGATTATGCTTATTTGTGCTACAATAAAAAAAGCAACGCAAACTAACAATTTCACATAACCATAATCTAGCAGTTTATGGCCAATAGATAAGCAATTTATTCTGATTTCATGGACAATCAAAAGCAAAGCTAGCACAACAACTTGATTGAACCATAAACTAACATATTATTCTCTGTTGCGAAGCAACAACAGAGATGCAGTAAGCAACAATGGCAGGCTATGCTTTACAAACTACCAGATTATAAATTTTACAAATGCATAAACTGTCAGGATATGCTGTATAAACTACCAGATTATGTTAATTTTGTTACCTTTAATGTTCGTCGGAGTTAGGACGGGCGAACTTCACAGAGGAGGTCGTTGGATCTACTCCAAGATGAGATTCTAAGCTGACTTCTGTGGGGAGGAAGGGCGACGAAGCTTCAATCGGTGTCAGAGAGAGGGAAGAGAGAGATAGAATGGCAGACGAGGATTGTGAGAGAGAGGGAAGAGAGAGAATGGCGGACGAAGCTTCAATCGGTGTCAGAGAGAGGGAAGAGAGAGGTAGAATGGCAGACGAGGATTGTGAGAGAGAGGGAAGAGAGAGAGTGGCGGACGAGGATGTGAGAGCGGCGGAGGGAAGAGAGAGTGGTGGAGGGAAAAGAGAGAGCGGCGGAGGGAAGGGAGTGAGAAGCCGATAATTTCAGGGAGAGAGTGAAGAGAGAGGAGAGATAGTATGAAAGAGGTCGGTGAGAGAGTGAACAGAGAGAGACAAGTATTAGGATTTTGAATGAGAATTTTCGTTTAAGGGTATTTTTAGAAGTTTATTAGGGCTCGTTTATTTAACTGATTTAAATTTTTAATTTAAATTAAGATGTGATTTTATGTGAGAGTTTTTTATTATAATAAAAAAGTTAGATGTGACTATTTCTGAAAGCTTTTTACTGTAATAAAATTTAAATTTTAAACTTAAATCGATAAAATGAACGAAGCCTTAATATGTTACCCACACATTGTTGTAGGTAATAACTGTGAGTTCTATAAAAAGTTGGTAGTTTTAATTGTATAAAATTAATTTATGTACAGATACTTATATATGAGCATGTCTATATAACATTGTCATGAGTACTTTTTGCAATGCATTTATGTTTTTTCTTTTGCTTTTTCTGCTCCGGTTTTTAGTTGCAAAATGAAAATTTTGTAGGAATTAGTATTTGTTACTGAGAATGCTGAAAATGTTTTATGTATATGTTATATAAATTAACTTATTTAGAGGTAGTTGTATTACATGGTTTTTTTAAGTTTTGTGGAAGGTTCTGCTTCTTTTAGTTGAGACCTGAGATGATAAAAGTTTGTGTATATATATTTAAAATTATAGATGTTATTTTTTGTTAATGGATAATGTAAAATAGGGAATACATCTTACCTTGTAGTTGCTTTTTTTAGATATGGTGTGTATGGATCTATTGGTTTTGCAGTTGATGTGTG